CTTGCTCCCCGTGGGAGGCCTCCAGCCTAGATGTCCCTCCCTATTAAAAACACTCCACATGTGGGTACCAGAGGAGCCTGTCCCATGCCTCCACCCCTACTACCAGTCTCATTGTGCTTTCTTCTTTATATCTCTAATTGTAGGACTTCTGTTCAGCCAGATTTCAGGTGGTCTGAGTGATGGTTGTTCTATATTTTAATTGTAATTTACCTATGCCGCCATATTGGTCTCTGTAATTGATTTCTTTTTTAGAGAGAGAGGAAGGGAAAGGGAGAGAGAGAGAAAATCCATCAGCTGCCTCCTGCATGCTCCCTCCTGGGGAACAAGCCCAGAACCCAGGCATGTATCCAGACTGGAAATGGAACCTATAATATTTTGGTGCACAGGACGACTCCCAACTGAGCCACACTGGCCAGGGCCATTTGAGGTTTTTAATGTTCTACCTCTATCCCTGGGTCCTTTAAAAAATATTCTTTACTTTGGAGAAAACTTCCCTCACATGAAATTAATAAGCTTTTCCTGCAAGACATAGTTGTGAGAGACTTGCTTTTGAGTTACCCAACTTGAAGCACATTTTGAGCAATTAGGACAGCTCTTAATTAAAGGCCTCCTCTAATAGAAAGCACATACATCTGTGTTTACAGAGAGTTACAGGGTGCATTTCAGGATTGCATTACTCTTTGCCTTTTCATTGTTTACATCTGGTCAGCTAAGGATTAAATTCTTCACATTCTGATAAAAGGCTCTTCTGAATACTTAATAGCCCACTCTATGCACAGTTGAATTTTATTTCTTTAAATATTTTTGTTTGTTTGTTTTCTTACTAGGCACCATAGAGGAATAACTGGGAAGAGCATGTTGGATGTATGAAAGGAATTTCATTAACTTCCTTAAAGAAAGAATCTTGAAATGGTTCATCTACCCATATTGTAAATGCTCCTTGTAAATGTGTGATTTAGATTGTTTGTAGTATTCTTGGCTTCATCTAGGTTAGAGGCATTTTCTCATAATTGTGCTGGCCTTAAAAATTATGGGAAAGAAAAGAAGACATGACCCTCCCTTTGCACTTATATAAACAGATGAATGAGTGTTGCACACTAAACATGTGCATATTTATCATCGCTGGGGTTAGAGTGTCCTAATTCACTGGCCGACAGACAAGCCAAGTGATAATAATCACCATACCTAATATTTACCGAGCAGCTGCTATTTGCTGACATCAAGGGAAGCACTTCACTTTTGCTTAACCCTCACCTGAAACCTCAGAGGCAGTGGCTGTCACTATGGGTTTTGTACGCGAAGAAAGTAGACTATGGCTGAGTGAAAGCCCCCACAGCTAACGGGCCCATTCAATCTGACTTTAGAAGGTCCAGGCTATTTGGATAAACCTCACTGGCAGTTGTCAGAAGGGTGAATTGCGAGGTCATTGAACGGATTCAGGAAACCAGAGAAGGAACTGTTACAGGTGTAATTCCTTCACCTGTTACCTGGCCAGGTAAGGGGTGATGGCAGCTTGGACTAGAATGCTGAGGGTGACCTTAGAGGAAGGGGGATGGAGACGGTCAGGCCTTGGTGGTAGATGTGATTGAGACATGGGGGAGAAGGTAGTTTGTAGGATCAGAGAGTAGTTTTGGGTTTTTCTCTGATACGGTATGAAACCCATATTTAGTCTTAGTTCTTCCTTCTGGCACAGAACTTCTAACACTTTTGAAATTTGCTTAGTGATGAAGCAACAAAGGTTTCACTTGTTATGTTAATAAGACGATTTGGAGGCTTCACCTAAGGATGGAGGCTGGTTGGCAGTGGAACCAACCATGAGATTAGAAAGGTAGAACTTTCAGTCCCACTCCTGGCCTCTGGGGAGGGCAGAGGGCTAGGGGCTGGAGGTGAAATGTTTGCCATTGGCCAGTGATTTAATCAACCACGCCTGTGAAGGGAGCTTCCATTGACAACAACAACAACAACAACAACACACATAAAGACAGGCTCTGGAGAGCCTCCAGGTTGGTAAAACATGAGGGTACTGCGAGAGGGACCGCCTGGAGAAGACCTGGGAGCACCAGACCTTTCTTTCCCCATGGCTTGCCCTGCGCATCTTGTCCACCCGGGTGCTCCTGAGTGACATCCTCTCATAACAAACCAGTGTTCTAGTGAGTCACACGTTTCTCTGAGTTCTGTGAGCCGCTCCAACAAATTAATCAGACAAGGAGGAGGATGCGGGAAGTTAACTTACAGCTGGCCAGTAAGAAGCACGGGCAACAACCTGGGCTTGCAACTTTTAAGAAGCTATGGCCTGGCGTATAAGCCAAGATCCGAAAGCTGAAAAAGGAAGAGCCACCAGAGTGGGAGGGGCAATGTCCTCGCAGTGGAAAAAGCCCCAGGTTTCTGCTTCATATGTGGCACCTGGAAAGTAATAATTACTATCCTTTGTCTCTTAACTCCAAGGCAAAATAAAATTATCAAATCAAAACTGTCAATTTCCTGAAGGTGATAAATGTGCCTGCATCACAGCAAGTTGCCTTTCCTCAGTTGGAATTGAATTAGTCTCTGAGAAATCACTAGGAACAAAACAACCCATAACCACACCCCCACTAACTGAAAACAAAGCAAGCAAGCAAACAAGAGCCCAAACCCTGGGCCCGGTGATCTGGCCTGGAAGGGAACGTGGCAAAGAAAGAGTGTATGCTCCTCCTCAGTTTGTCTCTCCCTGCGTTTCAGCAAGGTAATCTCCTGGCATGCACAGTGATGATATTTGCAGAATCCAGAAGCCACAGCCCTGTTGGCATTGCTTCCCAGGAGACAAATGGTATTCAGCGAAACACAGAAAAAATCCTTCCCGGAACCTCTTTCTCCAGTGTGCTTTCTCCCTTTGTCAGATTCAGTCAACATCAGTTCATGTGTCCACGCTTTCCCTTATGCACGCTTGGCAGTGCAAGGTTCCTGCTCCAGCAGCTCAGCCAATCAGGTGAGCATGCAAGTCACTGGTTAACCCAAGGGGACCTGCAGGTTTACACTTTGTTTGCAAAGGCAGTGGTGATGCAACCATGAAGGCAATTCTGACGTTACAAACCATGGGCATAACGCGGGAGAGAGGATTTCTAAAAGGCTCGAAGAGAGTGTTTACCTCTTAGGCCAACGGCCAGAAGTTCATGGCACATTAAGTTTTCCATTTCAAAGTTAAGCGAATCTCTTGCCACAGCATCTAACTTCTGACAGAGATTGGAGAGAGAACGTGTCAGGATTTCTTGTGATGGAAAAATCCTCTCCAAGGGGTAGAAGGCCCACTTTCTGTCTCTGCTTTCTGGCTGTAGACAGAGGTCAGCAGTGGCCATTTAAAAAAAGTATCTGCTTCAAGTTCTTGTCCCTAACTTTTGGAAATGGCCCCTTGATTTTCCTTTGTGACTCAATCCCGTTCTCAAGTTCAGGCAGTTTAGTGGACCTGAGATCACTGTGTCCCAGGGGTTGGCATGGAACCCACACTTCACCAGCGGGGCGGTGTCCTTCCCTGGTCACTGTGACTGTTTCGGGAAGTGATCTGCGCTGGGATAGCAAGAAGCCTGGAGCTCCTGCTGAAACATCAGGAGAGGTGCCTCACCCTCCTGGGTGGTCAGGCTGGACGCATGTGAGCTGAGAGCTGCTGCTGAGCATCTTCTCTGGCCAGCAGGAGGTCCTGTCTATGACGGAAGAGAATGCAGCCATGGGAGAGGAGAGTGGAGCCCGGCGGTGGGAGAAGACAGTTACCCTGGCTTCACCCCAGCATTCTGAGCTAACTATGCACAGCCCAGCACGTCCGTGGGCCCGCCCACTGCTTGGACCAGTAATTTCTTGTGTGTGTGTGTGTGTGTGTGTGTGTGTGTGTGTGTGTGTAGGGTAAGGTGGCCAGACGTCCCGCTTTTGGCAGAACAATTTGTCCTGTGTCCCACGGCATTTTAAAAAAGTTTCGATTTTTGGAAAGAATCTTTTAAATCTTTTGGACTTTTAAAAAATGCCATGAGGCGAGGGACAAATTGTTAAAAATCAGGACTGTCCCACCAAAAGCGGGACATCTGGTCACCTTAGTGTAGGGAGGGTTCTGTTACATACAGTAAAATAAAAATCTGAGTTGTTTAGGATCCACGCAAAGCTCTGTTTACTGAAGGAACACGGACTCTCTCACCACCTTTAATCCCAACTCTGAATCAACAGAGGAACTGCCAATAGTCTCAGCACGTGAGGGCGGCTTCGGCATCTCTTTGTTCATCTGCACACAAGTACCCAACGTCAACATCCCAGCGAGTGAAACCTGGAAGAATCCCAGGCCTGTGGCCTGGAAAGGTGAAGAGCTGTCCAGGGCCGTAAGGTGAGGTCTAATCCCAGTGCCCTGAGTCTGAGGCCTTCCTCCCGCTCACTGTCTGAGAGTGAGCTGTGGCTCAGCGTGCAGCACCCTACACATACATTGGTTGTAAGATCTGCATTTGGATAGTGATCAGTTTTTTAAAACCATTGAGTAGATGAGGGTAAGTGACATTTGGTGAAGTTTTTTTTTTTATTGTTATTGATTTTTTATAGAGAGGAAGAGAGAGGGATAGAGAGTTAGAAACATCAATGAGAGAGGATCATCAATCAGCTGCCTCTTGCACACCCCGTACTGGGGTTGTGCCTGCAACCAAGGTACATGCCCTTGACCGGAATCGAATCCGGGACCTTTCAGTCCCCAGACCGACGCTCTATCCACTGAGCCAAACCGGTTTTGGCCATTTGGTGAAGTTTTGTTTCAGTTGTGTATGAAAGTAACTGTACGTGCACGTACACATCGATGGCAATGTTCTGTGTCTGACATGAATGAACTATGTCCTTCTTTTGAGAGGGAGTTTGAAAGCCTCGCTAGTGTGTGTTTGGATTTCTTTTATGAGCATGAAAGGGAAAGCAATGGTATGTTTGTAGCAGGAGGGAGTCACCTGGCATTCCTGGCCAGAGGCCCTTTCTGGGCGGCTGGTTGCAGGGGAGCTCCAGACCTGAGCTCTGCACCGACCTTCCCCTGTCTGTCTCCCATCGCCAGGCGGCAGGGAGGGCGCTGCCCGGACGCTTTGGAATTCCTTCGGGGATGGAAGGCTGCATACAGTCAGGCCTGGGCTGTTTAAGGACGGAGTCCGGTACCCAGAGAGCAGGACGAGCACTGCGGCCTGAGTGACAGGCATCTGATTCTCATTAGCCGGAGCCTCCATGGGCCGGGCTCCTGGGCCCTCTCTGAATCTATGCACAGAGCTGGCCCTCGCAGGGTGCAGCCGGTCAGCTGCCTGCCCCCCTACCACTCCCTCCCAACCCACACTGCAGATGGAGCAGACCCATATCAAGATTGTTTTGGACATTTAAATCCTGTTTAATGATTAAAGAAACTCCCTGAGCTAAATGCTGCTGACGTTACAGAGTTTATTACCCAGCGCTGCGGAGGAGAAGGGGGAGATCTGAATTCTCAGGCCGGGAGAAGGAGGGCTGGACAATAAATGTTTATTACCATCACTTGGACAGCAAGCAAGGCCTGTCTTGATCCCTTTTTTTGGTACCAAGGGTGTTGCTGACTTTTTCTTACATAGTAAGTACTTACGTTGTGCCTACTACGTGTCAGGCATGTTCTCCACGCTTAACACCTGCTGGCTCATGCCTGGAAGAAGGGGTGAGGTGGGCTCTGGCCCCCTTCCCACTCCTGTAGGAGGGAGGGAAGGAAGGAGGGACCCAGGAGCCAAGGCATCCGGTGAGATGAGGGAGGCTAGGGAGGTGATTAGGAAGAGCAGAGACATGCACAAGCAACACTGATGTTTACGTGGGTCCTATGGAAACAGAGGCTGGCTGCTAGGGGTCCTGTGGGCTATGCCCTCCCCAGTGGGGTCGGAGGTCCTGTCCATTCACTCTCCCTCAGTTCATCTCAGAGCATCCTGCTCCATGTGGTGTCTGAGTGCCCTTCCAGAGGAAGGCTGTTTTACACTCAAGTGGATCTCCAGGGGCTTTTTCTAAAGGAGTAAAGAAGGCCTGGGATGGGGGTCTGAAGGGTATGGCAGTGTTTTTATACTTCACCCTCACCATCTCAGGGTTTCTATAGGGGGTGGGGCAGTGGGGAGTTACCTTACTCCCCAGAGTGGGTGAGAATAGGGGAAAGTATGTGTTTAAAGAAAATTAAATTTAATAACAAGTTTCTCTAACCTTAAAAGAAAAGCAAGCATTGGCTCATGAAATCTTTATAACAACTCTCAATCAGGGTAGGTTAAGTTGTGCTGCAGTAAGAAACAATCCCCAAATTTCAGTGTTTAAAAGTTTTCCTTCACACTTATGTCTTCCTTTGGTGTGTGTGAGTGTGTGTGTGAGTGTGTGTGTGTGTGTGTGTGTGTGTGTGATGGGGGCTTCCTCTCCATGTTGTCTACTCTCAGGTATTCTGACCACACGGGCCACTGCCGCAGGGGCAGAGAGAGCAGCACACGGTGACAGTTCTGCAGCACATCTACCTGGAAGGGACACATTCCTCCTCCATTTCCATCGGCTGAAGCAAGTCATAGGCCTCACGCACTGCAGGAGGACAAGGAAGGGCTACAGGACCGGGTTGATGGAAGGAAGACAAGCAGACATCTTACTGGACAGTGCTGATGACTAATACTCTGTCCTATGAAGAATGTTCTTTTACTATTCCTTTTTTATTCATTCGTTTATCTCTTTACAGACGAGGGAACTTAAACACAGAGTTTATGTAAGTTGCTCAAGGTCACAAAACTAGCAAATGGAAGAAGGTTACAAGATTTTAGCAAATAAAAATGCAGAACACCCAGTGAAATTTGAGTTTCCGATAAACAACTAAGCAATTTTCAATATAAATATATCTCATATGCAGATTTGGGGTATATTTCTGTTTCAAATGTACTTGTGGTTCACATGAAATTCAGCTTGAACTGGGTGTCTGCGTTTTATCTGGCGACTCTCAAACGGAGCTGTCAGAGCCTGGACCTATGTGCTCCCGCTCCAGGATGAATACTCTGTTTAGGACCTTCTCTCGCTCCTGTGACTTTCTGTTGTTCCTCTGTCGATGCTGATTTAATAGCTGTTCCTTAGCCACATGAATGAGGGTGAAAGCGAATGTGAAGACTTCTCCATCAAAGGCAGGAAGGCATTCTGGGAGGTTCCTCACTGACAGCTTCATTGGATCCTAGGGACTGGGGGAAGGCAGGGACAGGAGGTAGGGGGAGTAGGAGAATAGAAGGGAAAGAGAAACTCGGCTATAAAGATGAATCTGTCTAGTGACCTTCCCCCTAATGTTCTCATTTTTAAATTGATTTTAGAGAGGGAGGACGGGAGAAAGTGAAGGGAGGGAGAGAGAGAGAAAGAAAAAGAGAGAACAGAGAAGAGAGAGAAACATCCATCCGTCCTCTCCTGCATCAGCCCTGAGTGAAACCGAACCCACAACCAAGGCTTGTGCACTGACCAGGAATTTAACCCCAAGACCCTCTGGCGCAGAGGACTATGCTCCTGAGCCACACTGGCCAGAGCCCTGATGTCTGAGCTAATGGAAGGGGAGATGCAGGGCAGATCATCAAAATGACAGTTAACCCCAAAACATTCCTCTGATTTTGAAATGAGACATATTTGCCTTCTAATTATGAAGGACTTGGACTAATTGTAAAATTAGTTTGCATTCTCTGACCACAATAATGAGAACACAGGCCTGAGCAGTTGGATGCATATGAGATAGGCAGAAGGCATATGATTATGGGTATAGGTGGGTATGAGATTGAGAGGGGAAATATGAAGCCAGCCTAAGACTCTACACCTTTCAAATATTTTCCCACAAAGTAGATTGTTGATATGCAAACAATTAAAACGTTGCAGACGGATCACGAGAATTCTCTCTTCGTATTACACAGTGTTTTACGAAGTATCATACTTTAAAAAGATATTAGCTCATAAGAACATGAAACAAATAACTTCAAATGCAATGGACATTTAATTTTAAGCATGCCTTTAACATTTATGTAAAACGTTTTTTGTACTCGTTCAATAGAAACGTATCTGACCACTGGGTAAAGCTAACAATACAACTACTGGTTCACAATGTGTTAAGTGTTGAGAATAATATTAGCTGGTACGTGGTTAACATGTAATAAGTATTTGTTAATTGTCTGACACAGAGCCTAGCAGATAATGGAATTAAATATTTGTTAAATCAGTGAATGTTAATACCTCTAAGATACATGCCTTTATTTACCCTGTTTTACAAAGGAGAACCTGAAAGTTTAGAGGGGCTTAAGTGACCCTGGAATAAAGTCTGGCCAATTTTTGAAGAGCAAATCTGGGTTTGCTAAAGGGATGGTTTGACGGAGCTACCCATTATGCTCCCCTTGGTTTGACGTGGCCTCTGTAGAACTTGCAGCAAGTAGCTGAACCTGGTGACTTGTCACCCATATTAGGAGAGATGACAAATCATTAAAGTTAATTAGCATGCACAAGGCCTTGGATAAAAAAATAACCAAGTACAAACACACACACACACACACACACACACACACACACACACAAAACCATTTTCCTTAAAAAAAACAAAACAAATATAAAAACGAAGCAAAACAACAACAAAAAACATTTAAAAAATCCTCACCTGAGGATTAAAAAAAAACAAAAACGTTTTTTATTCATTTCAGAGAAAGGAAAGGAGAGGGAAATAGAGATAGGAACGTTGATGAGAGAGAATCATTGATCAGTTGCCCCGTACACCTGCCCTACTGGGGATTGAGTTGAAACCTGGGAATGTGCCCTTGACCGGGAATCAAACCAGTGACCTCCTGGTTTATGGGTCAACACTCAACCACCGAGCCACAGTGGTCAGGCTGGTTGGCTTTCTTGCAGTGCTTTTTTCTACATTAAAAAAATCCATCTAAGCATGCCTTTATGTATTTATTCACTGACATTTGGTATGTTATGCACATTAATATTGCATTTAATCAAAGATAAGCTAATAATGATTAGAAAAATCAAATACAGAAAAGAGGAGCCTTGCTGCTAAGTGGCCTGAGTTAATGTCTTAATTGTGAAAACCTTATTGTAGGCAAGGTTTTAAAGCAAAGTATTTCATGTGATCTGATGATCCTACCAACTGAATTACCTGTCATTAAATCTCCTGCTACAGATACGACCTGAGTGCTTTTGTTTTAGAAATAGCTATTGTGTGCAACAGCACGTGGTGCTTTTTTTTAATCTGGCTAGCTTGCTTGTAGAAGAAGCCAGCTCCTCAGTGAGGCTGATCTAGCCTCAGTGAGGCCGAGCAATGGGGATCCTCAGTGCCCTGCTATCACGTGCCTCAGTGCAGGGCCAGGGAAATGGAAAGAGAATGCAAGTCTGAAGAAGTTGTTCTTTTTATTTTATTTTAATTTTTTAATTAAGGTATTATATGTGTACATATCTTACCATTGCCTCCTCCCCTCCCCTCCCCCCATTCCCATACATGCCCTCACCCTCTAAAGTTTTGCGTCCAATGGTTATGCTTATATGCATGCATACAAGTCCTTCGGTTGATCTCTTATCTCTCCTATATCTCCCTAAAATAATTGTTCTTGATCAGGAAGCTACTCAGCATTGATGTGTTCGTTTGGCTATTTACTACATTTGGCTAAGCACGCTGGACACACACAATGCAAAGACTTTAATATTGTAGTATAACGGAAGAGAACCTTCAGCATCAAGCCATTTGTATTGAGAAGGCGAACTCTTACTTGCAGACTCTATCCTGGGTCCTGTCCTGTGTTCTTTATCATGATCTTATTTTATAGCCCTCAAAACAGCCTCATGGACTATGCTAACACTGTTGGTGGAGGTACAGCTTGGTAAATCCACTTTGGAAAACTGTTTGGCAGTTTCCAAGCTGCACATGTGCATGGCTTATAACCCAGCAATTCCACACCTTTATGTGTACCCAGCAGAGATGTGTGCATGTGTTTGCCAAAACATTAGCAGCGTGGCAGTGATAGGAACTACCACCTTTTATGTGAGTAAGTAAATTGTGTCATGTTTACAAGTGCAGTGTCTGCAGTACGGAAGAATGAGTGCATTTCATAAACATGTGTATTGCTGAACCAGATGCAAGAGGCAAACTGCGTGATTCCTGTTCGGACTCTAGGCCCTGGAGGCTAGGGCCATGCAATCCCTAACGGCCATCTGCAAGCTTCCCACCATAGGAGAACAGAGGCCAGGACAAGCTCTCTGGCCACCAGGCTCAGGCCGTACGAGGAATGGGAACTGTCCTGAAGACCCCCGATCGCACACCTGCATTCCCCCCGGTTCCAAACCCAGCTCAGACCCAACCCACTGAGGACAAGAGCTTCCTGCCAGTGACTGCACATGAGGATGAAACCCCAGCTCCTGGGGCTGCCAGCATCGCCCAGTGTCCCCTTGGCTCGGGGCTGGGCAGCCCTTCCCTTTGGATATCCCACTCCCCATCTCCTTCCCTTAAATAAATTCAATTTTTCTTTATCCTCTGTGTGAGATGGCTATTTAGCCTGCCTGTGTACCACCATGTTAACCTTTCAATTCCATTTTTATAAAGTTCAAAAATAGGTAAAACTCCCATGTTAGCCATCAGAGAGTGATTAACTTTAGGCAGGGGTGGGGAAGTCTGGCCTGAGAGCCAAAATAAGACCCAAGAAATCATTTGGTCCTGCCCTGCCCAGGCATTAGGAGCGAGTTAATTAAATGTTGACCAAACATAGCAGGCTAATTTTTAAGTGGATAATTTTGTGTGGCCTCAAATGAGGTTACAAATATCCGAATGGCCCCTGGCAGTAGGAAGTCCCCACCTCTGCTCTAGAGGGAGGAATGTTAGGCCGCATCCTAAGGTGGCCAGCAGGGTTACCCACTGCTATCATCCCTGCCCCTTGTGCACGGGTGGAACCCGTGGTTCGATGGGATGTCACTCTGTTAATTAAGATTCCTTATCACCTAGGAGGTTGTCCTCAGTGGGCCTGACCTAATCAGGCAGGTTCTTAAAAGAACATTTAAAGCCAAAAATAGAAGCCAGAGAGACAAGCTACTGCTGGCCTGGGAGGAAGCTGCAGTGTGAACTGAGTGCGGAGGTCACATGGCAAGCGCTGCAGGCAGCCTGAGGGGACTGAGCACAGTCTCCAGCCAACGGGCAGCAAGAAAATGGGGACTTAGTTACACAGATGTAGGGGGTTGAATCCTGTCCACAACCCGAATGAGTTCTAGCCTCAGAGGAGACCCAAGCCTTGGCTGACACCTTGGTTGCCATCTTCTGAGACCCGAGCAGAGGATCCGGGTAAGCCAGGGCCAGGATCCCAACCTGTGGAAACTGAGATAACAAATCTGTGCTGTTTCAGGCCACTCAGATTGTTAGTAATATAGCAGAGACAACTACTACAGGGGGCAGAGACAGGAGACGGCTGGCACCCTGAAGTGCTGTTTCCTGATCTAGGTGATGTCACAGGAGCATGTTTTTAATTTGTGGAGATTTACTGTGCTTTGCACTTAGGATGGGTGCACTTTTCTCTGTGTATAGCACATGTGTCAAACACAAGGCCCGCGGGCCAAATCCGTCCCACCAGGCCTTGCAATGTGGCCCGCACCTTGCTGTCATCACTGCACTCTGCTGCGTTTCCATCACAATGACAGTTTATGACTGTTCAGTAAACCATTCGGCCCGCGATTTAGGCTGGATTTTAGATTTTGGCCCCTTCTCTGATTGAGTTCGACACCCCTAGTGTATAGGATACTTGATACAAAACAGCAATACAATACTACAATGTATTTATAAAATTACTAGAGGCCCAGTGCACGAAATTTGTACGTGGGTAGGGCCCCTAGGCCTGGACAGTGATCAGGGCTGATCTGTGGGGCAACCAATGGGGTGACTAGGGGGCCCTCTGCTGGCACCCACCTTGGCCTGCCTGGCACTGCCTGCTCGCCAGCCCTGTCCCCTGCTCCCACCACCAGTTGCCTCTCTCTGCGGGGTGACCAGCGGGGCAATCAGGGGGAGAGGGGTGAGAACCCTCTCCTGGTACCTGCTTTGGCTGGCCTGGGGCCTGAGGGCTGGGGGCAGCTCCTGCATTGAGCATCTGCCCCTTGGTGGTCAATGTGCATCAGAGTGACTGGTCGATTTGCATATTAGGCTTTGATGACATAGGATGATACAATCTTATGAAGTAAGTTTTATATTATTATCTCTTACAGCTGAGGAAATGGAAGCCCAGAGACAGGAACCCAGGCTCACTTGTTACACTGTGCTGTGAGATCTGCCATGTAGTCTGTCCCGCTAGCTGTTGGTCAGTTAATAAAACTGTCTCCTGTGTGGTACTAACACAGGGAAATAAATAAATAAATAAATAAATAAATAAATAAATAAAGTAGCTCTTAGGATGAATTAGACATTTGAGATCTGAGGCTGATTATTCAGAGAAGCTTGATAATAATCCTGGTCATGGTCTTAATGTGCAGTCCTTGAGCTCTGATACCTGTGGCCTTTTATTGCAGCCTCAGTGCCCGTCCTTCCAGGAACAGCCAGACTGTAGTTCCCGGAGATGCTGACTTTGACCCTTCCTGTCAACACTGAATGAAATTAGAGGTAAGGGTGAGAGGTAGGGGTCCACCCAAAGTGTGTTTTTTTAGGGAAAGGAACCCTTAGAACCACAGTGTCTTAAAAACAAAAAACACAAAAACCCAACAACTGTCTTTTTAAGAATAGAATCAAACAACTTTAGAAATAAAATCCAGTAAACAAAAGGCTCTCCAAAAATATATGCTGTTAACTCTTGGGCATGTCTTTCTTTCGATTTTGTTTTTGTTTTAGTGATTTCACTATTGCTTGAACTATAGAAGCAAGTAGAAAGGCAACCAAACCAGAATTGGCTAGCCCCTTTTTTATCAGAACAAGAGCAAGTGCATATGTAAAACCATACTGTCCACTACACTAGCCAGTAGCTACATTGATATGTGTTGTGTAAAATACACAGAGGATTTTAAAGACTTGGGGGAGGGGAAAGAATGTAAATAATAATCTTTTGGATGTAAAAGATTGAGTAAAATATTATTACTATAATAAAATTTTACCTGCAACTCATATATGATTTCCATTGGGGCGGCTAGTGTAGCTGCAGGTTGTCACAAAGAGACCAATGAAGGAAAAATCTGGGGGTTTAATTCCAGGGTATCATTATTTGTTTCTTAACATTTTTTTCTGATTATAAATGTATTATATAGTTGTTTGTTTTTTTAAATCAGGAGTACAGAAAGAATAAATCAGTAATCAAAACTCTTCCATAATCAGAAGCATTTTTTTGACATTATAGCTCATACTTTTACAAATGATATATATACATACTGTATATACACACATAAAGTCCGTTCTACAAACTTTCTTTGCTAAATGTATTACAGACTTCTTTCTATAATATTATAATACATAAGTCAGTATAATACAACATGAATGGACCATGATATTAATGTTCTATATAATACATTTTTTCATGGAAAAAATTAAAATGTTACTGAGATTCCAATAGTGCTTTTATCACTAATTCATGGGAATTTTAGGGTGCTAATTCTTCAAGCAATCTGTCTAGAAATTGGCAGGTGCTCAATTGCTATAATGAACTGAATTGAAGTAACATTCAATTCTATCTATCCAACCTTTATGCCAGGAGGATTAGAAGCCATTTATTAGAAATATACATATAACCATTCTGTCCTCAGGAAACATGCTTTGCCTAAAATATACACCTCTAGGGATTTAAGACCAATTGATTAATATTCTATAGTATATAGTTCTTCATGAAATTTAAAAAAATATTTACTTTTATTGGTATCAGAGAGGAAGGGAGAAGGAGATAGAAACATCAATGATGAGAGAGAATCATTGATCAGCTGCCTTCTGCAGGCCCTCTACTGGGGATCGAGCCCACAACCCAGGCATATGCCCTGACTGGAATTGAACCCAGGACCCATCAGTCCACATGCTGATGTGCTATCTGCTGAGCCAAACTGGCCAGGGCCTTGAGATTTTTTAAAAGGTAAAATGTCACCTAGTGGAGCATAATGAAAATGTTTTTGAAAGGGTTTCACTGGTTCTTCCTGGAGTCGGGGGGCAGGGCAGGGAAGAGCCCTAAGGTGAGAGGTCGTCCCTCCTGCAAAGATATAGAGTGGAATGTGAGTCACCGCAGTGGTGCCACTGGCACTGACAGCCTTGTCTGACCTCTTTAAAGAACCCACCTCTGGGGGGTGAGGGAGAAAAAGGCTCCAAAGAACATAAACTGCCCCCGAAGTGAAGCAGCCAGTGTTGGAGATTTTGTGTCACCAGTTCACTGGCCATGGTCCCCTCCGTATGCTCTCCTTCTCCCTGCCCCAACTCTGTGCCGCCCAGAAGTAGCCAAGACCTGTTAGAACTGGAGGCCCGGCAAGGAAAGAAATAAAATCACTCTGCTTTCTCACCTGAGGTTATGTCTACACTCCTGGGGAGAAACACTGGAATTGGATGAGAAACGGAGGAAGTTCTGGCATTAAAACTGCACCGGCTATTTCAGTACCTCCAAATGAGATTGTGAATACTGGAATGTTCCCGAACACGCCATGTGTTCCACCCTCCGCATTGACCTGGGCAGGAGAGAAAACACAGGAGAGAAGATCTGAAGACAGCAGCGGGAGATGAATTTGCTTCCTCCTGTATCTCATCAATTCGGTTAATGGGCCAGCTTCTCCCGTGAGTGTAAGCCTTCCTTATCTCGCACCGTAACCTCATGCAGCTGGTTCGTCTGGGGTCCAGGGAAGATTCTCTACTAGACGCAGCTGGCTCTCTGCACCAAACACACCGGCCAGGCACCTCCAGGGAGCAGTTAGAGATGCAGCATTGCAGGCCTCCCCACCCCCCACCAGACCTTCATCATGTGAGTCTGTTTTCATGGGACCCCAGGTTGATTCACATGCACATAAAGGTGTGTGGAGCATTGATTAGTGAGCTCAGGAGGTTATGGATTGCTCATTTTGGTGTTGGGGTTGTGGGTGCGGAGTTGGAAGGAGCATTATGAGAGCTGTGCCCTCGCTGTGTTACCCTGGGCAAATCATGCCCAGGACTCCTCTGCTTCCTCATACTTGTCTATCGGGATGAAAGGAAGGGCCCATCTGGTCCTGACATCCTATAATTCTCAGAAACTTTGCTGAAGCAATAGGAAAAATAAAGCCCAGTTGAAATTGAATGAATACGGTAATGAATTGATTCAAGTGCCACGACGGCTTTCCTAGGCCCTTGTGCAGCCTGGGGGAGGGTATTGTCTGTGCATCCAAGCTCATCCCACAGCCCTGTGTCAGCCCAGATGCCAAGTAATTTCCTGCTTAATAACAATTACCCCTTCTTCACACAGGAGGATGCCTATTTTGTGGGAAAAGGAGATTCTTACTAAAACAAAATATTTAGAGCAGCGGGCTGCTAGGATCTTCTGAATCATTTATATTGGAATGATTAGTAAATTATTTA